GGCACTGTGAGGAGATAGCCAGCACTCAAGAATGTGCCCGGCTCTAAAAAAGTCTCTCAAAAGACACACAATACACAACAAACACCCTTAAGAATGAACTGGGGGAGTACACAATCACAGGGAAGGAAACAGTAAACTCTTCAGGGTTCACTTCCCTGGTACACAAACCATAGCACACACAACGGCTAACCGGAATCTAAACGGACTGGAAGCTCATAATAGAGCCAACAGGGAAAATTGGTGAATAGCCAAAGAAGTGGTGAACTATGATTAACTGAAATGGGTCATTAGCTCATTCGAACCATATAAATCACCGAGCATGGACGGGATTTATCCAATAATGTTACAAAGAGGTCCTGATATTTTATACAGCAGACTCTGTAACATACTCAGAAGTAGCCTGGCCTTTGGACACATACCAAAAGCTTAGAGAAATAGTAAGGTAACTTTTATACCAAAACCTGGGAAAATGGGACAGGAAACGGCAAATTCTCTAAGACCAATAAGTCTTTTGTCCTTTGTACTTAAGACTGGAAAAACTGCTAGATCAAGATCAAGATCAATACGCCTATAGTGCAGGGAAATCAACTGAAACAGCTCTCCATCAATTAATAAAAAGGGTGGAGAACACACTGAAAAACGAGGAGGTAATGCTGGGAGCATTCTTGGATATCGAGGGTGCATTTGACAATACCTTCGTTGAATCGATCATTAGATCTCTCAAACACAAAGAAATCGAGGACACATGCGTGTCCTGGATCGACTCTATGTTAAGGGAGAGAAATATACACTAAACCCTTATGGGAGAGACAATATCGGCACGGGTAGCGAGAGGATGTCCACAGGGTGGAGTGCTGTCTCCACTCCTGTGGAACCTTGTAGTAAACGGGCTGCTTAGAGCTCTCAAAGATAAGGGACATAGAACCCTGGGATATGCCGATGATCTAGTGATCATGGTACAGGGAAAATACAACACTATAGTAAGAGATCGAATGCAAGAGGCTCTAAATATAGTAACAAAATGGAAAGAGGCGGAAGGACTAAACATTAGCCCAAACAAATGTGACATAATTGCATTCACACGCAGAAGGAAATTGGAGGGACTAGGGCCTCTAAACGTAAGAGGTGCAAGCATCCAGCTTAAGGCGGAGGTAAAATATCTCGAGGCTATGATTGACTCGAGACTTACCTGGAACCAGCATCTAGAAAGAACCACAAGGAGAGCGGAAACCTCGTTAATGATGGCAAGGCGATCCTTTGGAAAAAAATGGGGGTTAAAACCAGACATGGTATATTGGCTTTATAACATGGTGGTGAGACCGATAATAACATACGCAGCTTTGGTGTGGTGGCCAAAGACACAGCATAGGAAAGCAATAACGAGTCTAAGCAAGGTACAAAGACTTGCCTGCCTCGGAATAACGGGGGCAATGAAAACAACCCCCACTGCTGTAATGGAAGCACTAATAGGACTCCCACCTCTTTACTATGTGATACAAGGGGAGGCAAGATTAGGTGCTTACAGATTAGGGAATACACTGGAAAATCTTGACATTAGGCTAGGTCACATAAGTATCTCAAGGTTAGTGACAGGAGACGTGCTAGACATGAGATCAGATCACATAACCAAGAGGTACTCTTTTAATACTCCATTTGAGGTTTTAATACAGGAAAGATTGGAGATCACCATAAGGGAGCCCAATGCCCAACGACAGAAACAAACCTGGTATACAGATGGGTCTAAGACTGTGGAAGGCACTGGGGCAGGACTATTCTCCAAAAACCCTGATACTAATCATAGCTGTGCTATAGGAATACATTCCTCGGTATTTCACGCCGAGGTATACGCAATTTTACAATGTGCAAAAACGAACAATGAAAGAGCTGTCTAAAATCAGCATATTCAAATAATGTCAGACAGCCAAGCGGCACTTAAGGCCATAGCGAGTCAGAAAGGTACGTCGAGGCTGATATGGGAATGCATCGAATAACTAAGAACACTGGCAGATCGAAATAGAGTAAAACTATTTTGGGTGCCAGGTCACCAAGGGATTGAAGGCAACGAAAAGGCTGACGAACTTGCAAAAAGAGGGTCAGAAGAAATACCGGAACCAGACACAAACCCAGGAGTACCAAAAAGTACAGTCCGAAGTTTCATAAACCACTGGATTCGGGAACAACATATCAACTCTTCGGGAAGCACTCTTAATAAATAGGAACCAGTTGAAAGTGATAACAGGGTTCATGACTGAGCACGCCCCAGTAAAGGGACACTTGAACAAAATTGGCATGTACAATGGGGAACTCATATGCCGACTATGTCACAAGAAACCAGAAACTGCCAAACACATACTGGGTGAATGCGAAGCTCTAGATCGCAAAAGACAGGCTCTTTTTGGCCAACCTCAGGTTGATCCAACAACGTATAGAACCCACTCCCCCAAGGATCTGTACAAACTTGTACAAGGTACAAAGGTGACAAAGTGGGTGCTATGAACTAACATGGGATAAAACACAATAAGCCAATAGGCTTCAGTGTTATTCGGAGACACATAGTCAGACGAGCCCAGAAAAAAAAAACAGCAGACGTATCAGGCGGACACTGGCGGACGCATCTGCTAAATATCAACATTCTTCGGGCATGTCGAAATTTAACGAAGGGCTAACGCATCTACTGTTTACAAATATGCGTCCGGCATATATGATATGCGAGTCCTAGCTTGTTTGGAGTTGCAGTATTTTTAATAAAATACTTAAAGTAAATATTTAAGTATTTTCCATTTAAGTTCTTACTGTTAAAAATTACTTAAGTATTTTCAGAAAGAACTTTAAGTAGTTTCTGAGTTTTCAGTATATTTTTCAAGTAACAAGGAATACCACAAAAGCGTTAATTTAAGTACAAGTACTTTTTTCAGATGTAATAACTACTTTTCCAAAAGTATCGTTAGTTCATAAATACTTAAAGTAAAAAAAATACTGATTATCTATTTCAAGTGGGTATTGTTTTTGTACTGACTACCTCAGCTCTGATTATAATATAAAAGTTATTTAACAGAATTAACTATATTTTAGTTATAAAACACCCAATTAAATTAAAAATAAAGAAAAATAAAATCTACAAAGACAAGTGGAGAAGTCACAATATCAGTGGACATATCGACTTAAAAAATACAGGTATAAAATTGCTAAACCAGTTTGTCGTGTATTATGTTTTAATTATTTTGTGCTGATTTAGAATGGAAAATAAAAGGCAAAACATTATTACTAGGTTGTAAGTTCAACTAAATTCTATTTTTATAAGTTTGTTTGATGTAAACTTTTATTAATAATGTATAATATTGATTTTAAAACTAAAAAAGGTTTATTTTTATGTTTTCTTTTCGTAGCTGGTGATAAAATGAATTTTTAGGAACCAGTTTCATAATGTTTAATATTATGCAACTGGTTGCGTAAAGTAGATCATTCTAACACATGCTACGATTAAAAAAAAATGTACTTTACATGTCAAAATTTTCATTGATATTTCAGTAATATTCAAAAAAGACCGTACTATTGTGGAGCATCTATTTTATAGATTATCCTATTCTATGCTGTTGTTTCTTATGCATTGTTGTGTCTCGGCACTCTTTTATTTTCCGACATCTTCCGTAATTCTTTCTTTTATACATGAGATAGAGGCTTTTAAGTAAATTACCGGTTCGTATAGTTTTCACCTTTAGTACATCCCAAGTAAAATAGAACAAATAGTATCATTTTTCAAAGTGATTCATTTATTTACCTTTAACGTTGAAATGAAAATAGAGAACACCCCGGCAATTTACGAAATATTAGGTCAAATTCTCCAAAAACAAAACGAATTTGTTATGGTTGCACATTGTGTACGTTTATTCTATGCGACAAGTGAAAAATTATACTTCTGCATAAAAGCTAGAATAAAAATTTGGAGCCAGTAATGTAAAGTAATATAAATCATCTCGATTTATGGAAAATTATAATAGTGCTTCTTCATTAATAATTATTGTTCTTGATACCCACCGAAATACAGATTATGTAATGAAAAAAAATATTTAAATTCGATAATTTTATAGTATACTAGCTGTTTCTTCCGACTCCGCATGCGCGTTGTCGTGTTTTTAATATATTTTTAACGTATTTTCTGATGAAGGAAATGTGGACGATTAAGTAGTGTTAGTATGTACTAAGAACACATGCTTACCTGCTAGCTTGCTCAGAGCCAATTTTCAGGTATCAGGTAATCAAGGTTCATAAAAACATTACTTACCTCACGTAAATTCTCCAAGCTGATTTTTACGTATATTTTAGGCAATATCCTTAAAAATAAGTCGCCAATACTCCCAGACACTTTCCGTCGGCCGTATTGCTTTGCAGACGCTTTAAAGCTCCCAAAATAATGACTTGACTTCACGTAAATTCTGATGCTCCATTTTTATAAATGTCCACCAGACAACTATTTTAAAACCTTTTACAAGAAGACAGACCGATCCAAGGGGCCAATCATCCCCTAAACTCAATTTTAATGCCTCTGTGGGTAGGAGCACGAAGGCTTTATCCACGCGCATGAGTCTGAGTGAGACATGAATTAGGATATATTGACTTCTCTCTCTCACTCTCTTACAGTTTACTCATATCAATTAATTATTAATATTTAAAAAAATCAGATAAAAATTAAAAAATCAGGTAAATAATTAAACTTGTAAAAAAATGCTCATTTAACTACAATAAATCTAGAATTTTATCCTGCAAGCTATTTTGATAAATTCGACAAAACATTAATTTAAAAAAAAATGTCAAAAACTCGATAGTGTTAATAAATTTATTAAATAACAGCATTTTTTTTAACTAATTATTTATTGGAAATTAATCATAAAAAAATACAAAGTAGAAAAACAATAATCTCTAAACATTTCTGAGTATTGCCTCTAATCTTCATTATTATCGTCATTGAAATTAGACAATTCACCATCCAGCCAATCATGATATTAAATATCTAAATCGTCATTGTCATCATCAGCATTATCCTCAGTTCCTTCCACTGTAAAAAAACAAATCAAACAATGAAAATGTGAAAAAACTAAAGAGACACAAAAAATATCAGAAAAGAAAATAAATAACCTGATTGTTCTTTCAGCGACTCACTGACACCCGGTAATTGATCTTCATCGAACCAATGAAAATTATATGTACCATATTTTAATGTCCAGCCATTATTTTCGGGTTTGAAAATATTTATCATCTTCATAGTTGCATTGTTCCAAAGACTAGCAATATAGTTAGCCCGTCGGAACTGTTGCCAAAGCTCACTTTTACAAGGTGGTAAGTTGCTAGCATCGAAGTTTTTCAAATTTTTCCGATTGAATTCTTCATTAATGTCAGAAATCATATAATTGTTAATAAACAGTTGGAGTCTGACAGCATCTACATCAATTATTCCAGGAACGTTGTATACATCACAGATAAATTTTTGTATTATGTTGAATACACGCTCTTCTTCATCTACATCACCAACAAAATCCAAGGAACCAAAACGGTGAAATGCTTGTTGGTATTCTTCATTTTTCTTTAAAATATTAAACGGCCTTTGTTTGTCTTTTTTGAAAAATGCTGGATTAAAATCACATCCTGTGATAGCATTTCTTTACCATTATTTTCTTTACTTTCTTCTAATAATCCCATATAACACCGAAAAATATAAGTCAAGAAGTAACATCGTCCTTTTTGAATTATATTTTCTTCGCTAAAGGAACATATTTCACCAAAAGCAGGTTGATGTTGTTGACGAAGATCATGCCAATCAGTTTTAGGTTTTTTTGTTTGATGAGGCTTCATAAGAGAAATTCAATTGACAGATTTTATGATAATATATTTTGGGATGGGAATAATTTACAATTTTATCAATAAACTCCGTATGATTTTCATTTTGTTCTCTTACTTTAGATAAAAAAACTGTATGGTCAGAGAAAATTAGAGGCAATCTTTTAGACTTGTACTTTTTAGTTTTTTGGTCACAGTATATACAAGTAAGACTATTTTGAGTATTACTTACATCAGTATCAACCTCAATATTACTATCAGAAAGTAAATCAATATTTTCCAGGTGCTCAATATGGTCTTTTACATTTGAAGAAACCGGTTCGACTAACTCAGGTAAAATAGATATGCTAGGTATTGTTATAGGATCAGGTATAAGAGTAGTTGTTGAATTAAAATCTTGAGAAGTAGATGCTTCTGGTTCAATACTTCGTAAGTGTAATTCAACTATCGTTGAAGAAGAAATGGAAATGGAGAAATGTGGTAGACGTGCTACCATCGATTAGGATACTGTCAACATTTTGAACACTTGATAAAGTAACCATTATGTTAAAAATGGTGTAATTTTTTAATTGTTACGTTTTAATGTAGTTGAAAATAGTTTGTATTAAAAAATTTATTGAGAAAATTAGGCGTTGCCAGACTTCTGTTTTATTTATTTAAGACCTTCTAGACTACATAAAATTATAAGTGTTACATATGGTTGAACTCGTATTGAATAGGATATTCCAATAATGACTGAATATACAGTGTGATGAATTTGAAAAACCAAAGTGACCAATAATATAAGAGAAACGGCAAATCTGGCAACATTGCAAATATCAGATCTAAAATCTCCGTATCCCAAAATAGGTGTACCCCAAATTTTGTACAATTAGGACTAGCAATTTACGAGATAATTGGCCGTTTCCAGACTTTTGGGCCACTCTGTATGTATTTGTCCTTGTTAATAAATAATGGAAATTAAAAAATTATCCACCATTGTGCATTGCGTTTCAATAATGCCAAAGTCAGTTGCACAACATATATAGACCTGATGATCTAACGCAACGTGGTGACTGTCCTCTATTTCTTCAGAAAAATCATATCATTCAACCATATTATGACTCTGATGTACAAATAAATAGAAATATTTTAAGGTAATTTCTATCTAATTCGGAAAAGGCCCTAATCATATATACTGATACTTCCTAAACCTCCACTGGAACAGGTTTTGCTTATTATATTCCATCTAAAAACACAGAAATATTAGAGTCTAAATTCTACTGAAACTGTAGCTACATATGAAGCTTAACTATATGTCAAATTATTTAATCACAACAGTGCAGTGTTAGTTTTCGATTCTCTTACTGTTTTAAAGACTTTGGAAGATACGAAACTCCCAACTGTTAATTGTAACCCATATATCTTTAAAAAAACATGTCGCAGAGTTATCTCTAACCGGTACACCAATTCGTTTTTTGTGCTCATATAGGCCTAGCAGAAAATGAACATGTCGATAAACTTGCTGAAGATAGTATTAATATTAAAAATCCACATCCGGACTACGACTTATCCGTGGGTGATTACTGTGTTACTCTTAAAAGGAAACTACGTTTAATGTAGTAGCATTCATGAAGTGAATTTTCTTTCACTAACCCAACAAGATACACATTGTTATATCCTAACATACCTAGAGAATATTGTTACAAGCAGTTTAATATTCCTCGCAGATTTATCACAACAATAATTAGACTCAAATTTGGACACGCATGTTATCGCCAACATCTTTTTCGTATAAATGTTATACCTAGTGACAACTGCGAACACTGTGGAGGTAAAGGTGATTTAGATCACATTCTCTTTGAATGCAGAACGTATCGGAATCTGTCAAATGAATTATATAAAAAACTGTGCAACGTAAAAGGTCTTTACAAAAACATACCACATATTCCTTAGACCAAAATAAGTTGATTTAAGTAAAATTACCTATGTACAAAGTTACTTCGTTTGGGCTCCAGAGGGCCTTGAAGTTACAATTTTTATATCGTTTTTCCCATATAAATTTAAAACGGCATATGCGATTTTGCTGAAATTTGGTATATTGGTAGAGTTTTATGTGGCAAAAAAAAGGTATTAAAATGTTGTCCGATGATAATACATAGGCGTAGAACTTTTTAAATAATTGCACCTTTAAAAATTCTACGCCAATGGAAGAAAAGGAGTTTGAGTATGAAATTTAGATTGCGCAACTCATTTACTTTAAAAAAGGTACTCCTGATAAGACTCGATTACTCTCATGGTTTTGACGAAATTTGCATTTTAGTAATTTTAGAACATAAACAATAATTATTAAAATACAAACTTTGTCAAAACCATGAGAGTAAATTAAGTGTTATTAAGGGTATTTTTTTGTAGTAAATGAATACCCAATCCAAATTTCATACTCAAACCCCTTTTTTGCCATTGGCGTAGAATTTTTAAAGGTGCAATTATTTAAAAAATCAAGTTCTACGCCTATGTATTATTATCGGACAAAATTTTATACGATGAAAAACATAAAAATGTACTTTTTTCATATCTTCTTCAACACCTCTAATCGAGACTTAACAAAAATACTCGATTCTTGCCATGTACGATTTTTTGAGGAATATTAATTATTGCCTGCAATACGTATACAAAAACATTTATTGTTGGTTTCCATAGTTTCATCTAAATAAAAATATTGTCAAGTTTTAACACCTAATCTCTTGTTAACGATTGAAAGTGTTCTATCTGACTCAATAGTTAAAAAAAACAAATGCGTGGTTTAATAATATGGCTGTACAATATACCATTGTAGAATATACCGATATGTTACTGACATTAGGATTTTGTGAAGGAAATGCTCGAGAGAGTATCAGGGTGTACTCTAAAAGGTTTTCAAATCGTCGTGTACCTAGCCACCTAACTTTTGCTGCTGTTGAGAGACGTCTTCGGGAGACCGGTTCCTTTGCTCCTTACACTGTTGATAATGGAAGAGAACGTTTTGTAAGGATTCCTGAAGTTAAAAAAAACATTTTAGAACGTGTTGAAGAAGATCCAGAATTAAACACCAGACGAATTGGAAGGGAACTAGGAGTAAGTAAAGATGTCGTTCATAATGTGTTTAGAGAACAATTGCTATATACATACCATAAGAAGCCAGTACAAGAATTATTAGTCCATGATCCTCAAATTCGTTTGGGTTTTTGTCGATTTGTTAATATGCAAAGAGAAAGAGATCCAAACTTTGTCAAGAAGGTTCTCTTTACCGATGAAGCGGGTTTTACAAGAAGAGGTATAACTAGTACCCATAATAAACATGTTTATGCCGTTGAAAATCCGCATGCAATAAAGGTAAACCATTTTCAGCACGAATTCAAAATTAATGTGTGGGCTGGAATATTTGGTAATTTCATTGTTGGTCCTGTCATACTTCCACAAAGATTAACTAGAGAAAATAATTTGGATTTTCTACAAAATACGTTGCCAGAATTGTTAGAAGATTTACTTCTCCAACTTCAGAGAGATATGTGGTTTATGCAAGATGAAGCTCTACTACATTTTTCTTTAAACGTTAAAAACCACTTGAATGAACAATATCCACACAAATGGATAAGCAGAGGTAATGACGCACCTGTAAACTGGCCACCACGTTCCCCAGACCTAACACTAATGGATTAATTTTTATGGGGACATCTGAAATCCACAGTTTACAGGGAACCTGTAGAAAATGAGGAACAACTCTGGCAACGTATTCAAGATGCAATAAACAATCTTAGAGGTGATGAAGAAGTTATGGAAAGGATACATTTTAATTTTCTTCGACGTATAAATCTTTGTATGCGTGAAAATGGTGAACATTTTGAACAATGTTTGTAAAATCTCTATTTTGATTATGTTGTAAATAAATATTTTTGTGAAACCTATACACTCTAAATTATTAAAACAGAAATTTAGCGAAAACCATGAGAGTAATCGAGTCTTATCAAGAATACCTTTTTTAAAGTAAATGAGTTGCGCAATCTAAATTTCATGCTCAAACTTCTTTTCTTCCATTGGCGTAGAATTTTTAAAGGTGCAATTATTTAAAAAATCAATTTCTACGCCTATGTATTATTATCGGACAAAATTATAATACCATTTTTTTGCCACATGAAACTCTACCAATATACCAAATTTCAGAAATATCGCATATGCCGTTTTAAATTTATATGGGAAAAAGGATTTAAAAATTGTAACTTCAAGGCCCTCTGGAGCCCAAACGAAGCAACTTTGTACTAAGGTAATTTTACTTAAATCGACTTATTTTGGTCTAAGGAATATGTGGTATGTTTTTGTAAAGACCTTTTACAGACACCCTGTATAACTGCTCCATTTAATGTATTCTCAATTTTGACTTCATCTAAAAAATAAATTTTTGATTGATAGAATTTTTGTCAAAAGCAGATAAAAGATTGTAGTAAATTTGTTACCTTTGTTTTGGACATATCCTAATAACCTTTGTTATATTACCCTACACACACCGTGGCCTATTTTTAGTGCGCCTTGAAAAAAATTTCATGGTGGGTCCCTGGACGAGAGTGTCCTTGTTTATTTCCTCTAAAAAGTATTGTCTTCTTAATGGATTATTTTTGTTGCAGTTATTGTTTACCACTTATTTTGAGTTATGTTTATATTCATTAAGTGACTGGCTGAATGACCAAAAGTCCAAGCCAAAAAAATAACCCATGGTGTGTAATAAATCAGAGACCGATATAATGAAATTTCTCTATGCACATATGACGATTTTCCTCCTTTATTTACAGAACGTAGCAAAAATTAAAAAAGAAAAATATGATCACCAACAAACTTTTACATTAGGTTTTTTATAGGATTACCAGAAATTTTAAGATGAATTTTCATATTAATAAGTTAATTTAAGTTTTTAAAGTTTCCTACAAATCTGTTTACTGCATTTAAAGTTGAATATTGATCGAAACAAAATAAGTTTTTAATGTACCGTTGTATGTTTTATA